CTGGCGAAACATTAGGAAACAAAACTTCAAGAACACGGCCACACAGCCCGGAAGACCCACAGCAGCCATCTCTAAGATTCAGTTGTTTGAGTTAGCCTTTGGTAGTAAATGACGATGATGGGTCAGTGTGCCTTATCTTGATTGTTTCATAATTTTTAAAAATTTCTTTCCCCAAAATAATAATAATAAAAAGTCGCGCTCTGTTTTGCAAAGTGCAATTGAGTTTACTTTCTCAAAGCTGCAGTTTTTGTAAACTGTAGGTTTGATATGAGGGTCGTCTTTAAAGCTGAAGCAGAATATTGCTGTCAGAACTTAACATGGATGGTGATGAAAAATTAGAAATTCTTAAAGAATTATAAATAACTTTGTAACTGGATAGCCCTATAAACTATGCTGCATGCTGTGCGAAATAAGATGTTATGTATTACGGGTCTGAATGGAGAACTAACAGGGCAATCTGATATAATTGCAGTTTGATACAGCCTTATACCTTGAGGGTTGTAGGAAAAACCCATGTAACAAGTTTGACAGTGCAGAAGGATTTTCATATATTTGATTGTAAGTAATTAAATTAATGTTTCTCAACCTTGGCAACTTCAAGATATGTGGACTTCAACTCCTAGAATTCTCCAGCCAGCATGGCTGGCTGGGGAACTCTGGAAGTTGAAGTCCATATATCTTAAAGTTGACAAAGTTGAGAAACACTGAATTAAAGTATCCTACATGGAGAAATATGTGTTTAGTTTGAATGGGAGACAAAAAGGAAAGGCTTTCGATGACTCTCATTCCTCCTACTGCTTACTGGTACTTTCACTTCTCTTGGTGCTAGAGAGACAAGATGGCCGAAGAAATTAGATGGGCATGCTTTAACAAATACTAGGGCTTTCCGATGGGGGTACTGCCTTCTCTTCCTGATCATATCGAGGCAAAACCTTGCTCTGGAAGAAAGAATGTGTTCTATACAATAGACATATTTTTTATTTTATCTACAATAATTTGTATGCCTGCTATTTAACTATCTCTGGGCAGCTTACTTCTCTAAAACAGTAAAGTATCCTTCCAACATAAAAGCAGCACTCTAAAATCAGTGCAACGATATCCATCCAATCACTGTCACCTAAGAAGCATATCCAGTTCCAAATGCTTGATGAAATACATCTCTCTTCACTACCCTTCTAAATGATGAAAGGGCAGGAGCTAATCTGACCTCTGTTCCATAGTGAAGGGGCTGCTACTGAGAAGGCAGTCCTCTGGGCCCCAGCCCCCAGTCACCAGTAAGTAGGTGCCCACAACATGCCCTCCTATCTAGGCCACATAGAGTGGACATATTCCGCATGGAGCAGAAGCTACCAAAGATAACAAGGTCTAAAGGTCTTTATAGGTAACCACCAGCATCTTGAATTGGCCTCAGTTCAATAGGAAGCCTACCAGCAACCAGTGCAGTTTCCACAAAATAAATATTACTTTGCTAAATTCTAAAGCTGATTGCAGTAATCTAATCATATGATGCCAAAGACCTGATTCACTGTCTATAGCACTTCTTGTTCTGGACTGCACTCCTGACCGTGGCCTGCCCCTGCTGTTTTAGCAGGAACCATGAATCCAAGAGAACCCCAAGATTGCATACTGTTCCTTCAGGGGACTGCAATCCCATCAAGAGCAGTAAGTACACATCCACAGAATGAGGGGCTTCTGTACAAACAACTCTGTCTTGCTTGGATTCAGTCTGAATCTGTCATACTTCATCTAGTTACTCACAACCGTAATCAAACTCAAAACCCACAGATAACTTTCCCTAGCAGTTTCGGGGGGGGGGGGGGGGAGAAGTCCAGGGTTTAAGAGCCACACAGTAAAATGCCCAAGGGCTCAACTTCTTTTTTCCCATCAATACCAATTGGAACTGCCCACTCAAGAAGGAGTGAAATCATTGCAAAACAATGCCATTGATCCCCACAGCTAGCCCAAAGGGATATCTTGGTGGATGGTATGGAATGCCAGTGAGAGATCTAACAGGACTGAGAACAGTGTGCCATTGCCATCCAGGTCTACTCAGGTCATCAACAGGAGTGACCACTGCAATTTCCACCCCATGCCAAGACCTGAACTTGACTGAAAGAGATCCAGATAAGCCACTTCATTCAGGGCCCTGTGTAGTTGTAGAAGACCCATGGTTGAGGCAACCTGCCCTCTGGAACAGCATCCCCTCAGATATTCATGCAGCTTCTACCCTACAAGGATTCTGCAAATCTTAAAAACATGGCTTTTCTCCCAGGCCTGGGGTTAGGTTGGTTGTTGAGCCTCTGGCAATTTTTGTGTAGTATTATCAGGTTTGGGATGAATTTTTTCTGGGTGTATACTCTTTTAATTGCTGCTTCTTCTCTTTTTAATTTATGTAAGCCACCCAGAGTCATTTTGGAGTAGGACAGCCTTCTAAATCAATGAATCAAGCAAACAAACCTTCCTAAAAAGAATTCAGGTTGATAACTGTCTAAGATAACTGAGTTGAATGAGAGTTTCTCAAGGGGGCACATCACCCCTCCATTAGGAACACGTTCATCATCTCCTGTACTCATGCTGCCATTCCTTCTCTGCTCACATGAATTAGCCAGGAGTGGCACAGATCTAATTTATAGGCAGCTGAACTCATTCCACAAAGGGTCCTGTCTATTCATCTAGTGACAGAATCCTCTCTCCCCCCTCCCAATGTGGGTAACTCCGACCTTCAATCCTAATACTCTTCCAAGGGACATCTCTGGGAAAGCTAGGTCTACTCCAAACTGGGTTGGGGCCAGCTTCTAGCTCACCTCCATTCTTCCTGCCCTAGCCAACTAGGCCTTCTCAACCCCCTTCTCTACAGCTTTCTAAGCTTTATAACTGTCTTCTCCAGTGCTCTCTGCTCTCTCTTGACATCTCCAACATCCTCTTGCTTCATATCTTTCCACCTCCCAAACTCCATCTCCTCTCTAAACTTTCCTCTGGCTTTCCAGCTGCTCATTTCCCATATCATCTGTCTGTTCACTGCTTCTCCATCCCTGACCACTCTCCATTGTGTCACCTAGGACTCCTGTCCCTCCAGCGATCCTCACCAATAGCAGCCATGTGCCACCAACCTTTCCTAAAGCTAGTTCATGACCAGGGGTCATTCTAAAGCAAGACTATGCAACTTGGGGCCTTTTAATTCAAGTGCAGCATATAGGCTAAGTACCTGCTGGTTAGCAACCCTCTTTGCAGGCAGGTTGAACTTTAACATGATGGGTTGCACATTTGAACAGAGTTATCTTTTAGGGGTAGAACCAAAAAAAGAGCATTATGGGTGCAGGCAGTTTTTGACAAAGATATGATATTCCCCTAGCTCATAAGGTCCAGATTTTTCAGTAGTTTTTTTTCCCGAAAACTTTTTTTTGTCCTAAGCTGCAGGGAACATTTATTCATAGTAAAGGACATGAGCAAAACAAAGCATAACGATCCCATGCTGTATAAACATTGGAGGCAAATACTATTTTTAGCTGCTCTGTGTGTTCCCTGATGTTCTCCATCAGATTCTGAATGTGCAGAAGGACATGCATGCACAAAGGGTTAGCTATTCTAGTCAAGTCCTCCTTGTGACCTTTATTTTCCTCCTCTGAACAAGATGCAGAAAATGATGGGTTAAAGATGGATACTGTGATTAGCTGTGATAACAAACATTTTTTTCATTGATCAGAACTTTAAATATGTAGCATCAAGACTGAACAAGTCAATCCAATTTCAAGTCTAGAGAAGAGGAAGAGACCCAAGCCAGATTGTTTAAACCTGAGGGTTTCATTTGAGTTAAATACAGAGAAAAAACATTGAATATTTCACTCCCATTAGATATTTGGTAGTACTGGATCAACAGTACAGAACTGTTACTATCGGTGACTCAGTAGCCTTTACAAGTAAAATTCTTGCATATTACATAAAATTAGCATCTGGCTTCAGGCCAGATATAATAGAGTAAAAGTAATGTGACTCCACTGCTCCATTCTTTTTACTTTAATTGCACATATGTTCTGCAGCCAAATTTACAGTGTGCGATTTCTGATCTAGAACGGATGTCTCTTGGGACATACCATTTCATAATGTACACTAGAGAATTGTATTTGATTTCTTCACAATCAAAGGCATCCTGAATTACTCAACAGAGATAAGTAATCTTCTTTTTGAGCCTAAATATGATTAGAATATAGATATACTACATGCAGTTGCCTACTGTGAGGGGAGAAACAGCACTTACAGGTTGATTTCTCACTGAAGATTTTTCTAATAATTTCCATTATTATTTCTAATAACTAACCATTATTTTGAATAACATTATTTTTTCTAATAATTTCCAAAGATGATAAATGATATGTCAGGATTAGTATCTTATGGGAGATAAGCCTGAAGAGACTGGCCTTAGGATTCTTCTCCATGCTCCTGGAGATGAGCTTTCATCCCATTTTTGAGATGTGGGGGAAGGTATTCCTTTCCAATACATCAACCCCCACATCATTAATCTTACTCTGCCTTAGGAACAAGCTTGGTAGAGTCACTGCCCTTACATGGTTGCTGCTGCTGTTGTGGGGGACCAAGGAATAAAGAAGGGGAGTCTTCTTCTTTGCTGTCTGCTTCTCTCCCCACCAGCCAAGCTTGGGTCTTGGTTTTCCACCAAGAAATACTGTTGCTGGCTCCAACAGCAGCAGCAAGTTACTGCTGAACCCAAG